TTAATCAACTATTTATGCCATACAATTATTACTTAGTATCTCATAATTTCACCTTTTTATGTCATAATTATAACTTTTCCCTCATAGATTCGTGTTTTTATGTCATATCTATGGCTTTGAATTTTGATGCTTTTATCATCATTGACCTTTTGTGAATTTTGAATTATGATGCTTATCATACGTCACATATATCTTATCCTAATTATGATGTAGTATCTCATAACTTAGATTTTTGTATCATAACTATGACTTTTTCCTCATAATTTCTACTTATGTCATAATAATGGCTTTTATCTCATAATTTTGAGTTTTTATGTCATAATTATGATGTTTTTCTCATAATTTTGACCTTTTATGTCATTATTGAATTTTCCTCATTTTTGACTTATGTCATAATTATGGCTTTTATTTCATAATTTTAAATTTGTATGCCATAATTATGATACTTTCATCATAATTTTGACTTTTTATGTCATGACTTTTCCCTCAGTTGACTTTATGACATTATAATGGCTTTTATCTCTTAATTTAGAATTTGTATGTCATATTTAAGATGTTTTCTCATAACTTTGACCTTTAATGTCATAATTACGACGACTTATGATTTTTTTCCTCATAATTTTGACTTTTTATGTCATGACTTATAATGATTTTTTTCCTAATCGTTTTGACTTTTTATGTCATAATTATGATTTTTTTCTTCTTCTTATGTGGCAGAAATGTGCCTTTCATAAGTCTGGACTCTGGAGAGTCATTCATGTGAGAAAATAGTATCAGAATGTTAATTTTTCACACCAGAAACAAGATTTACAGCAAAATCCGTTAGTAATACACACCTCACGCCTGTAGTACCAACCGAAAGTAAGTTATTAATTCCTCTTTTAGCACTATCACCATTTCCAGCTCTGCATAGCGCTCGGCTCTCACTTCCCGTCACGCGTTTCCTGATGTGTAAATCTGTACGTTTGACAGAGTTATTTCATCTCACCTGGCGAAGTATCCAGGCCTCTTCTCTGTCTTCTCCATTACAGACCCTGATCACAGCAACTCCTTCCAGTCCAGAATCGGGATCTCAACGTTGCCTGAGCGTTCCTGTCTTCACAAAGACACGAAAAGCAGAATATCGGCCCCTTAATATGTCGGCCCTTATCTTTAATCGTGGGTCAATGGGTCACATACAGGTTGCTGCAATGAACCCAGTGACACAAACATCAGCTCTGAGTGGGAAAACTGTCGATTCAGGCCGGATCTGGCGAGGCTCAGCTGGTTTTTTTAGGGTGAAGCCATTAAATCACCACTGATGGCAATCTTTATAGTTAAGACACTCATTATTGTTTAAGATCAACAAAGCCTGTGTTTGATTTGAGATAAGCAGTGATTAGATTGAGCCTAAACATCTGATTACTGACTGATATCTCAAATCAATCTGCTTTGGTAACATGACAAGGGGTTAAACTGAATGTTTACATGACATAATCCCGTTTAATAGAGAGTGAAACTCACGTTCAGCACGTAATTTTACGCGCATGCATGCACAATGACGTCACGTGCATCACGTTACAGCTGATAGCCGCCTATACATCATATGCACAACACTGGAAATTCATGCACAAAAGACAACATCATATGCATGCATTAAAATGAGCCATTTTTAAAAGATGACATCATGCATAACCTTATTTATCTTGAGCGACATATTGGCCAAATGCTGTATATTTGTATAGCGTATTGTGTGCATTTGAAACGCGCTCCTGCCATGCATATTATTTAAAAACAATAGTATGAAACACATACGTTTGGTCCTGCAGGAATTGCACGCGCATGTTTAAAGGAACAATCACCCACCTAAACAAACACTACATCCCTGAAGACCCAGCTCGCGTTACTTCATCCCTTCGCCGATCATATAAATGCTGCTCTTCTTCGGGGAGATGTGAACGAGAATGCACTATTGTTGATATAAACACGCACACATGCAGTCCAGGCTAACAGGCTAAAGCTAAAGGAATTAAAGTCCTTCCATATCAAGATTGAAAGCGGATTCCGGCTGTTTCTTGTTATATTTCTGTCACACCGACGTCAGCTCTCGGGACTTTGACCCGTTTTATCGCGAGTCAATCGCCAAAAACGCTTGATGTGCGTGTTTGGGTTTGGAAATAGAATTATGTATTCATATCTAAATTTAAATGTCGATATTCTCATAGGTCGAAGTCCTCTCATGCCACGCCCATTTTTCCCGGGTGATTGACAGGAAAAGCGGAAACGCCCCTTCCCCCTTTAACTCCAGGCTAGATGCTATATTTATTGTGTGTGTGTGTGTGTGTGTGTGTGTTTTACAGTGACTTGTACATCACAGGTCTCCATAAAATCGTTTTATTTATTTTTTACATCATATCTAGTAGCCTATTTTATTTTGGTGCAATACTGCTGTTTTTTATTTGATATTTTGATATTTTTTAGCAAAATATAAACAAGTATATTAACATCCAAAATATTAAAAGCATTGTTTTGGCCAACAAAAACGGCAATTGATGAAATATATTAATGAAATATATAAAATCACAACACCTGAAACACGTGTGACAACTTGCCCCAACCTATAATACTCCTGTCATGAGTTGTTGTCACAGTTTTTAAGTTAATAAATGTTTGTAATTCATGAATGATTTGCTGTACAGGCTGGTCTGTTTTTAAAGAAGTAATTCAGCAGATTAACTAAACATGATGTTATTATAGAAGCTTAAGTTTATTTTAAAGCAAAATGTAAAGAACTAAATATTCTTATTTTATACAAAATACATATTTTATAAAATAACATGGACTCTAAACTTACTAGAACATCAACAAAGTTTCGTTCCGAATTTGATATAAAAAAAAAAAAAAGAGCCGCTAAAAGGTGTGCAGTTTAAAAATGCAGTTTCACAGGTCGAGTGATTAAAGTATGTGACTTCCTTATAATTTGTTTTGAATATAAAAATGAAAGCGTGTAAAGCGTTGGTTGAGTTTGATATGTGTGTCACGTGCTGGAACTGAACTAGCACAAACTAGATCTTGTACATGCGGATTTATGAGGTCACGTCCTGATTGACGTGCTGTTAATACACACACAATCCTCAATATGAACATATTCATGAATATTTGATATGCATTTAAACATATCAAATATTAAAGCCCCCCCTGTGGTGAAAATCCAGTTTTAATATTGTTTATGTCTATTTTTAATCTGCTTTAACACAAACCATGTGTAAGTTCATAAGTCGACAGCATTGCTGAGTATTTCCTCCTTAAAACTGCAGTGAACCAAAGACAGTCTCAAAAACACGGTTTGAAATCGCTGGTGTTTCTGACGTCACAAACGACCTTGTAACCAATCAGATCAACGTGTGATCGTCAACCAGTGGATCTCTGAGCTGAGGGAGTGAGTGGAGGCGGGGCTCATTTGCATATTCATAGAACCGCGCATACAAAATGAGGCGAGGGTGTCGAGTTACACTCAAGCTATTTTAAGGCATGAAAACACTTTTTTTCAAAGAAAACACATTTAAATATGTCATTTTGGTGATCAAAGATGAGTTTTAAGGGATACAATTATTGACTGACTTTAAGGAGAAATGTCTTAACCTCCTTTTTGAACATAGACGTGAAAATGCACTTAAATACAAACTTAAACGGTTGTAATTCATGAATGCTCGATTTAGACCTACGATTGGGCCTTTTTAAAAATAGACACTTTAAACTGTTCCTAAAGTGAAATAACTTCTAAAAATGAAAACATTATAGAAGTTTAAGTTCACTATAAAGCAAATGTAAAAAAGATTATATTAATTATATTACATTTCATTTTTTTTTTTTTTTTACAAAAACAATAACAAATTGGACTCTAAATCAATCAAATCAAAGCCATTCTCTAACCACGTTGTTCCACATTTGAAGTTGATATCTCTAAACTGGAGTTCCCTGTGAGGTTTAGTTGAGGCGCAGTGCCAAACACACAAACAATCCACATACTCATTAGTCTTAATTATTGCCAGTTCAGATCACTTAATACTATGGAGAGGACATCATCATAAATTAAAGGCCGTACAATAAGCATTACCATGAAATGTAAATGATCTTTATTTTTTCACATTATCGTAACTGCTTTTAATCAATTGTTGTATATTATTTTAGAATGCATTGACAATGACACACAGATACAGTTTTATTCCCGATCACGGGCGGATGATGATGATGATGATGATGATGATGATGATGGTGATGATGATGATGATGAAGGTTCAGAGCTGAGGAACGCCGGCCACCATCTCACTCTCAATGCCACACTCATCACGGCCCCTCAGGATCTTAAAATAGCCTGTGAGAGACAGAACAAACACCATCCCTGCAGGTCAAATCTCACATTTACAATAATAAAGTTCTGAATTTATTATAAATGATAATTATTATATATTAATTTTAAAAAAGGGAAAAAAAGAAAGTTTTAAATATATATATGTTATAAATGATAATTATTATATATAAATTTAAAAAAAAGAAAAAAAAGAAAGTTTTAAATATATATATATATATATATGTTATAAATGAAAGATAATTATTATATATTAATTTAAAAAAAGAAAAAAAAGAAAGTTTTAAATATATATATATATAATCATAGTATCATAATAATTTCCACAAAATATTATTTCAGAAACTAGTTTCTTAAAGGATATAGATCTATTATATAAAATAGGCTATATACTGTATATATATATATATATAATTATTATACATAGTTTTAATATATATATATATATGTATAAATAAAGGAAAAAATATAAAATATACAATATTATTACAATAATGTATGATCATTATTATTCATAATAATTACATTAATGTATATTTTTAATAATTGTAATTGTTAAAAATGATAATTATTATACATAGTTTTAATAATAACTTATATACAATATATATATATATATATATATATATATATATATATATATATATATATA